TGTGGGAACAATTAATATACCTGCCAAGTATGCATAATCTACAAGGCATTCAGAAGCAGAGCTCACAGAAAAATCTGGAATCATCTTGACCCCTTGCATTTGTAGGATGTGTAGAATCCGTCGGGCACCAGTTCTCTCAGATACAAAATCCAAAATAAGTTTTAAGAGTCATCATCACCCTACAAGAAACGTGGAGATACTCTCCCTGTGTTCCCTGTGTTCTGCATGGGTCCTCTTAAAAGACAAATACTCTAACTGCCAAGGAAAGTGTTTCGTGAGCAGAATATAATAATAGCGATTCTTAATGACTAGCATGCACCTATAAGAAAGTTCCATTCACCTAAAAAAAAAACTTTACAACTTAGTAGATCTAGTTGGTACTTTTTAAAAACATTCACTTTCAGAGTAATTTTTCTATAACTTAATGTGCATCTCAGCAACTGTTAGGTAGATTAATTTTTAACTATTCTGTATTGTTTTTACGATTATAGTTCCTAATGGCTTCTTACAACACGCCTGCAGTTCTCCGCTTATTTCCTGGACTGGCTTCTATGATGATGCTGTCGATGTTGCAGTTATTTTCATAATTATTTTAACCTTGTGTATTCACATTTCCTTTCAATTTCTCCATTATTGAGAATCAGGCTTTTGAGCTATCAGAAATTTCACTCTTCAAAGTAAAATATAAGCCCTTGTTTTTCTCAGGTTTAAGCTATCACGGTGATTCTCTATGACATTTAATATATTCCTTATGATATGAAAATGATAAATCTTGGTGTCATATCCTCAGTACAAATATTTTTATAGCTGATTTTTAGAGTTTCATGAATGCTGTGTTAAGTATTTCTAATATTTAAAGTGTTGTGCTAACTATGATTTATGTGTCCTTTTAAATGCATTTTCTGGTTTCAGCTCCTCTTCTGGTATCCGCCTGACTCCATGACAACCCCACCTTTACTATAAATCCATCCATGGTGTTGCACACTTGACTTTGTTTGCTAAATTAACAGGACTGGCTGCTCAGAGAAAATTCAGGCCCTCTTACAACTTCTAATCTAGATCCGAATTTAGCTGCAGCTCTTTCTTTTGGTTGCACTAACTGGAGCCGATCTGATATGAAAACACATGATATACTCACCAACTGTCATCAGTGGAACTAATTTTTATAAAGTATGAATTCCCTTGGAAATGCTACCTTGCCTGACTTGAAAACTCTCGATTATTAATATCATTATGGTCATGTGCAGATCGTCAAGTGAGCTATTGCAAAAGAACTCTTGCAGATTCCGTAATACTTAGAAGGAATGATTAAAAACTTGTAGCAGTGTCATGATGCAGTAATACTCTTCTCGTTTAATGCTTAAGAGATGAATTATGCTTACAAGGTACTGCAGAGTAGGACGTCCAGCCGTTCCTTCTTTCACCTTAATCTCCCTCGTAGTGTATCGTCAATTAGCCATAAACGTTCTGATTTCTAAAGGCAATTCGGGAGCCTCTAATGGAATCCTGTGGCAAGCAAAGGATCTTTCTATATAGACAGTCCAGATGTGTCAAAACCACTTACGGGTTTGTCTACCCACATGGCACAGCCCGCAGACCTGAGCGTCTCGTGTGAGAGTTACGGTTTGCATCATTCTTTCAAGAGTACCGCTGCCACTTGCGTGTATCAGTAATGAAAAATAATCAACATGAGCATCTTTGAAAAGCAATTTTAGATCATTAAAGATGTATGAATTTGGACAAAGCAAGAAGATTTGAGGTTTATTAAGAATATATTAGGTCTCTATCAGGAGGGAAGGGAGAGAGGCTTTATGTCTGGAAAGATAAACGGTACAAGGACAGCGAGGATCACGGTCTTGGTCCAGCTGGGCCTGCAAACCTGTTGAGAAAAACAGAGCCTGTTTCAAGATGGTTCTTGAGACGAAACAATATCTGAGACCACTCCTGTCCCCTAGCGGATTGCATATGTGATCCAGCTTGTGCACCTGACGTGGAGCCAAGGCTACCGGCAACTCCTCCAGGGCTTCATATGCCTTTGCCAAGTAGAATGGAAATGTTTGTCAGGGGGTCCTTCATTTCTTTCATTTCCCTGTTGCTTATTTATTGATTGATTATTAAATTTTGATTGCTGTACATTTCATAGCAGTAAGTTTCCAAAATCCTTCCGTCATAAAGACCAGAGTCTACTGATTCTACTTAGCGGGAGTCTTAACAAGCCATGAAAGCATGCCTGTTTTCCAACCAGCCGGTGTAGGGACGTGTCGGCATCCGCCAGACTGACCTCTAAAGCGTAGTTCCTGGCCTCCTGGCGGCACTGGCTAAAATTGACCATAGTGCAGTTTTAGACAATTCGATAGGGTCTTCTCTGTCATGTGATGTGAGTTCTGTGTCAGCTGCAACTACGAAATTTGCATGTGAATTCTGAAATTTTCCTTGTCCCATGTGACACTTCTGAAATGTCTGTCTGTTCTTTTTTTCCTCTTTTAATTCCCAAGCTCACTATTTGGATAAGATAGTTAAAGGTACTGTATCTCTACTTTTTGTTGCCATGTCTGCATATATAACTACATAGCTGTGTAGCAGATTGCGCTAGGTGTTAACAGGAGACTTCTTCATGCGTATTTTTGTAAATTATAACTTGGGGTTACATTATGTGAAATGCTTCGTATTTAAAGTATTGAGGCTTAAATTGTCTGTGTCTCATTTTTTTTTTACAATTTTGGGGTTCTCGCAGGTTTCATTTCTTATTTAAAACACTAGTTTTCACTAAAACCAAAACTGAAGATTGCAGTACATTTGCTGTTTTTTGTTTTATTTTATTTTGCTTCCAAATCTTCATTGTGAGTAATTCAGCCAGTGAGCTTTAAATTATAAAGAATCATGACTACTGTTACCACAGAATAAGAATTGCCACTCTCAAGAACATTCTGGCTAACGTATGTGGAGAGAGAAAGATCTCATTTAGCCTCAGACGGAAAGCTCTTTGGCTTTTCCTAACTGTATCAGAATATACATACGATATCATAATTTACGTTTTGTTATTTTTTATCAAACTACAAAATCTCGTGCACGCTGTTGCATCAGAACTGACAACGCTGCTCAGCAAAAAACAGCAGAGTCTCGGGTCTTCAGTTAGCGTAGCCATGGGTGGAACAATGTTGTACGCAGAGAAAAATCCCTCCCTCCCTCTCCCCAGAATACCTATTTTCTTTTCCTTGTTTGTGCTTTCCATTAGAATATGAAAATATTCATGGCAATATCCAGGCTTTCGTATCCTAGTTCCGTGTGCAAGCAGCCAGTGCTGCACATGGGTATTGGGGCAATTAAATACCTTCTTCCAATAAAAGCCACAGGCGAACACACCTGGAAGGAAAACCTACCTATTTTATATATTGGATAATCCATAGATACAGACGGTAACTATCTGGAAACAAAATAAGCAGCAAAATTAATTTCATCCTGGCCTGATGGTGTCCCTGAATATAATTTTGTTAGGCGGCCCAGACAGTCTTCTTCCTGTTGACTCTAATTGTAAACGCTTAGGAAACGCTTAGGAACGTCTCTGAGAAATTTCCTTCTCACGTTCCTCACCGGACACCAATACGTGAATAATCACTTGAATACCGATTTAAACCTCTTACAACCGTTTGCTCCTTTTAATCTTAGATCCAAAACAAGTGGGGGCACTTGCATGATCAGGAGCTATGTAACAAACCCCAGTTGCTGGAGCAAGTATTCTATTACGTGTACTTTGCACAAATGATTACCAGTTAGCCCAGGAGACTTGATTACGGGCCAGGTCCTTGCAGGATTCTAGAGCATTCGATCCTTGCTTCTGTCGGTGCCATGTCACACGCATAACCAGGGACTTCAGAATCCGCCCGAGTGTCATCTTTCATAAGTAGATCATGTTGGCTGCATGCCAGTTGCCATCAGTAGCAAGTGACAAAATTTGCTTTTTTGGGGGAAAAAAATTATGTTAGACTGAAACAATTCTCGATTTTGGATATATTAAATTAATTATTTCCCAAATTTTCCCTTCTTGCCCATAAAAGCAGACAAGATAGGATATAAAGGTAACAGCATAAAAGCCTTAGGGAGATTGTCACAAAATATCACCTCCGCCCTCTGTCTTGAAGCACGTCACTACTGTGTTTTTGTTCAGTCTATCGATGTTTTATTGTGGTCCTTATGGTATTTCATTTTGTCCGTCCTCAGTAATCAGATATGCACAGCTCTTACATTTAGTTGGAAATCCTGTCGGTCCTGTCCCATCCGTATGCAGCCTGAATCCCGATGTTTGTTAGAATAGACGCTAAAAGCTGCTTTACTATCTCCTGGGCTTTGCTTAGTCTGTGAAAAGGAATGTACTCTGGGCATAAAGTATAGTCATTAATGCTGACCTATACTTTGTGCGGTTATTTAATGTACTGTAATTTCACATGAATATTCGGCAACTCTGAGGCCAGATAAAATTAATTCTCTCTTTTTAGCATCATTCATAAACCCATGTCCACGCTCATGCTCTTGGATTTAGGGGAATTTTTTTTTTTAAAGCAACAAGGTGCTTTAAGGAGTCCTAAGTGTCCTAAGAAGCTTCTAGCAATGTTTGCAACAGATTAAAAATTGGAACAATGGGGTTCCGAAATTATTATCCTGAGGCGCTTTTCCAAACTGTGTTCTATACCTTGTTGCTTTGTTAAAGGGGGAAAAAAATGTCAAGTTAATTTTGTCTGGCCTGAAGCTATTTAGTGGGTCATTGAATATATTTCTGTCCTACACAGGTAAGTGGTGTCTCAAGGGTCAGGCCAATCAAAGATGCCACTTGGGTAAGAATTAGAGTCCTCGGGATAACGTTGCTGTTTCTATCCATGTGCAATTACAGTCTCTGCGCTGTTTATAGAGGCCTGTTCCCACTAAGTGTCCCGTATCTGTTTCTTTCAGGTACGAATGCTTTCCATACTCAAATCACTCTTGTCTTTCCTTCCTTGTCTTGGCAGAGGGCTGCCCCGGCTTGTGCAACAGCAACGGGAGATGTACGCTGGACCAAAACGGCTGGCACTGTGTTTGCCAGCCGGGCTGGAGAGGAGCAGGCTGTGACGTCGCCATGGAGACCCTGTGCACAGACAGCAAGGACAACGAAGGAGGTAAGGGAACCTGGACCTGAAAACCTGGGAAAAGTGCGTGCCAGAGCCTGGGCTCGCAAGTGACAGTGACCGCATAGTTATCTGCTGGGAAGAGGAGAGAACAAACAGTTCCCCCGAAGAGTAGATGGACTGAAAGTGTATGAGAGCCGAAGGATTGATGGCACCCCCTGATTTCCCTGAAACCGATGCCTGATGATTATCGGTCATGGAAAAGGCAAGGTAACAGAGCTACTAGATAAGGTCCATTGTTCTCCATTCCTTTCTCTCATTCCCTGGTAACTATCCTCCTCAACAATGGTATTCAGGACGCTGTGCCACCACGGTATTTTAATAACTAAACAAGCCAGAAGATGCCAGGCATTTTCCAAGCTCTTCTGTTGAAAGCCATTGGGCGGGGAGAGGGGGGTATGGGGGGGGGGGGAGACAGCTACAGAGAACAGCCCCCTTGAAGCTGAATTCCACTGTTTTTTTTTTTTATCCTTAACTTTACACTCCCTATAAAAGGATTGCGATGTTCCACCCAATTTAAGCCTTTGGCTAGGAATAATTATTCTCCCCTTTGAGCACATCCCCCATGCTATTGTATTTTAATTTCAGAGAATAGGGAGTGGGAGTTGGTGATGAAATACTTGCCCCTGACAGCTGTTTAATTTTGACAAACCATTAGGAGTGAATTTGGTGGCAGGTGTCGCTGCTGTCTAAGTCTGAGATCACCTACTCCGTGGTTTCAGCTGTGTCCCCCTGCCCCATTCCTGCTCTTCTGGAAGGTCTTCATCCTGGACAGCAGTGTTGGCCAGAGACTGCAGCTTTTAGATGCGGGCAAGATCGTCACTAGGCCACGTGGCCCTGTCCTAACGGAAAGGGCCCTCAACCAGATCCTGTAACTCTTTACATCTCATTGCTTCCTCGACAAAACAGAAATAAAAAAGGTTTTGAAAGTTGAAAGAGAAAGAAGTCTGTAGACTGCTCAGCAGGTTGCAGCCACTGTGGCTTGGGTTTTCCTTCTTTTGTCTCCCGAGGGCTTATCTTGACTGGCCATTGAAGGTTGTCAGAGAAGACAGGCGGAGTGGGCCAAACTTCTCCAATGACCTGAGAGCCAGCATCCCTCTGCAGCATATACCCTGGTCCACTGCTGCCTTCTTGTCTTCCTGACAAGGAGCTAAGGGCCTCCCTTTTAACTTTCTCACAGACTGTTTCTCTCTCTTCCCTGTGTCCCTTTCCTTGGTGATCAAGATGAGCCAGTAAATCTGCATAAAAGCCTCTTCTTCCCAACCCTCCCTCCCCACCTTTCCACCCCCACCCCCCCATCCCTAGTGGATTCCGGCAGTCTCTAACCCTCACAGCTCTCCTGGCTGATAATACCTTGCAGCCCAAGCTCCTTGAGATCACGTGTTTCCAGAAATGGCAGCATTAATCCTCTCTGAGACGAAGCCCAGATGGCAACCTAACTCCTTGCTTTCCCCCAAAGAGCGCCAACCCCATTGTCTCCGGTGCCAGGGGAGGAGGCGAGCGCCTCTTTCTCCTTGGTTGTGCATTGCAGATTTTTGTCTTCTGAAAGGGAGATTATTTGGGGGAGGTCCTCCTGGCTCTCAGAGGGATGCAAACCGCAGGACCAAGTCTGTGGAGACAAGGCAGAGTAATTTAGGGGCTAATCAACTCTTTGGTATGATTATCAGCCAAGGAGGTTTTTCCTTTTCTTTTTCTCAAAGATTTATCAACTGTGAATTGGCCTCATTCCCCTTTGTTTATTCTTATTAGCATGAAACCCTGCTATCGCTAGGCTTCTCTCTCTGAGGGAGACTCTGAGCTGATAGAGTGCCTCCTGTGAATTCTCCACTTATCTCACGTAATTTCCATGCCTGTCCCTAACCTAATTTCGTTCTTCTTCAAAGAAGCAATCTCATCAGATCCTGAGGTGGTGGGTGACCTGGGTGCCTGGGAGCCCAAGGTTGAGGGGTCTTTGATAGATGCACAGGACATGTATGTGAGAGGCAGTATCTTCCTCATCATTCAGGATAGTGCGGCGGAAGAACAGTAGAGCAGAAGGCTTAAAATTTGGGCAGTACCAGAAATTCTAGGGCAGTGGAGAATGGGTACTGCAGAGCCATTGTCTGAGCTAAGTTTGATGTCAGAATGCCACTGCGTTGCTTGATCCAGCAGCATATTAAGTAGCTAAAGAGAGGAACAAACACATCAGGAGGTTGATTTGGCCCTCATTAGAATTTAATTATATATTATATACACACGTAATATACATATGTTTGTGTACATATATATGCATGCTCTTGTCTACATCAAATACAGTCTTTGTAAAAGAAATGGAAAACGGCTTACCATCCCCAGAAGTGAAAAGGTTAAAATATGTGATAGACTTATATAAAAAATATCTTATGAAAGCCATCAAAGTGTACAGTGGATATACACTGATATAAATAAAAATAAATAACTAAATATTTATGTTTCAATAAAGCAACTGCACACAGGGAAATAGCTAAATGTCTTCCTCAACCAACATTTGTCTTCTGCTCCAAACTGCTTCCCTTTTCCCTATATGACAACCAACTCCATCACGACCGTCTGATTATAAAGAGCCTTGAAAGCCTAAGCTCACCAAGGGGGTACTGGTTCTTGCCTCCCTGGGTCTTTCTTTTCCTGTTTTCTTTCAGATACCGTGGCTCTCAGATGTTTAAGCAATGGACAAGCCCTTGCAAAGGAAGGAGCAGGAAGAAGGGACCACTGTTAGAATAGATGGAGCCGGGTGTCCTTAGTCACTCCTAACACCTGTGCATTCGTAGCGTAGTGGCCGTGTCCTTTTAAGGTTCAGTCTCCCTGTGCACTGGGTAGCTGTGGCCTTCTGAAGCCAAGGGCGGTCTTTTCCTCATGGTAAGGTTACTGGCCAAGATCTCCGCTCTGTGGAATCAGGGTCAGCTCACTTCTGGAAGGCAACTCTAGATTTCAGAGAGTGGCCACCGAAGCAAGTTTGAAATACAAGCTGAGTAAATCCAATGGTGGGTAACGGCATTGCTTAAGAGAGGGGACAACAAAGGTTAAAAGCAAACGGAGTCATCAAAGATCATGAAGGACGTCCTCCCAGAGACTCCTAATGTCATCAGAACATAGAATGGCACTCCAGATCGCTAGGCATTCCGGTCTCCTGGTAGAATATTGGCATGGCGGAAATGATAATTGGTTCCTACTTTGGATTAGAGATCCGGTGACCATGAGCTCTTTTGCTGTCCACACGGATGTACTGATTATTTTGACTGCTAGTACACTGTTAGTAATTGGGGGGAGGGAGGCTTGTTGCTGTTGCTTACCTCTTGGTACATAGTAAATGTGTAGTGAATTTGTGCGTGCGTGTGTGTGTGTGTGTGTGTGTGTGTGTATAATAAACAGTTTTATTTAGAACTGATATTTTTCAGAAGGGAAATTGTGGAGTAACAGGGCAGTTTAGGTTTTCAGTTTTATAGCTACCGCCCTGTTGCCTTGCACATAGGTTTCAACCACCGTTCATTTTATTGGTGTGAGATTGTTACTCGTCCATGGTTGAGACATAATCAGTGTACATAAATGAAATTGTTCAACAAAATTAAAAAACAGAACCACTTTCTAATGAATAGAAGTGTCCCCATTTTATTGTTTTAGTTTCTAGATCTGATTGCTACTTAAACCAGTCATCTTTTTTCATGTTGTGTTATAGTTGAAGCCCAAAGCTTTCTGCACATGGACCCTCTGCTACTAAGAGAGGGCATACCCTCTTGCATGCCTAGCCTAGATTGATGGTGATCTTTAGACGTTTTTCTCAGCGTTTTGTGTTTTTATTGATTTCTTGATATTTGTCTTGATAATTGCTTACCTATTTCTCTTGATTGGTTTTTCCTGTTAAGTAGCTTAGCATTTTCTCTTTGAATTCCCGGAACCTCTTGTTCCAGTCTGCTTTTTCTTTGCTGGGTGTGTCACACATATTTTACCCAGAAGTTTTACTTGCCTTTCAACTCTGCAATTTGTGGTGTCTTTTGTCATATGGACAAAAAGATCTTTCCTGCAAAACCAAGGACCTGAGTTTGGTCTCTAGAGCACATGTTTAAAAAAAATTTTAAAGCCAACTGTACATGCATGCAATCCCACTGGGGAAGCAGAGACTGGCATTCTTGGAGCCATTGATCAGATAACCTAATCTACTCTGAGCCAGTGAGCACTCACATATAACACACACATCCACACAAATGCATGCATGCACAGACCAAGATGTTTGAGAGAGATTAACTTAGCTCCTTTAGGTGATGGCTAAGGTGAAGAGAGGATGGAACTCATGTTTGAGTAGATACAGAGAAAAAGGAAGGGAGAAGAGAAGTATGAATGGACTTCAGTCTTCTGCTTTGGATATAAAGACATAGGTTGTAACTGGAGAGATGGCCCAGTGGTTAAGAGAACATTCTGCTCTTTCAAAGGAGAGCTTGCTTCCCAGAACCCACACTGGGTAGCTCACAACCACCTTGCACTCTAGTTCCAGAGTGTCCAATAAACTATTCTGGCCACAGTGGGCTCCTGCATGCATGTACGCACATTCACACACATTTGCATGCATAAGTAAATAATAAATATGACTTTTTAAAAAGAAAAAGTGCTGTAGGTAGATTGAAGTTCATTGACATTGAAAATATGGGGGTAAAGAAGAACAGAGAAGAGAGGAGAGATATTATGGAGGAGGCATATTAGGTTTTAGATGTTTATATTGTATGCAGCTAGAAATATCAAGAAGGCAGGTGCTTTTGTAGATCAAAAATGATCCCACTGTAGTCAATAGCCTGAAAGGTAGATGAATTGAATCCAAAGACACCATTATAGCACTGATTCCCATAGACCAAGAATGTACTGAAAGTCATATCCCATTCCGTACTGTAGAAAAACATGTTACTCAGTGTTTCCTAGAAAGGGTCGTGAACAGTGTACCAAACATAAAATCTCACAACCATCATACTACTTCCGGATTCAGACCTTGTTGTGGGTGATGAGGATGATGATAATTATTTTTATGGAAAATAGAAGGTTTGTAACATTTTTCCAATAAGTAAAGAAAATTTCTGGAAACAAATAAACATGTCCATACTTCAAAGAAGAAAACGAGAGCATGGGCAGACCGAACAAAGTCACCATCCAAGGTAATCTAGGAAAAGCTTGGAGTCTGTCTGAGTTTTCACAATTTGACCAAAGGCATGCTAATTAAATCTGACAGAAAAATATATCAAGAGTGATAGAAAGTAATTTAAAATGCTATAAAAATTAGGACAGGGGAGAAATCTGGAAGCAAGGCCTGAGGTGGACCATTGTGGCCACAGGCTGATGTTTGTAAATAAACCTTTATTGAAACGCTGTAGTTGCGTTCATCCATTTATCTCTTGTCAAATCTCTTTTTCAGGGACATTTCATAGTTACATGGCTCACAAAGCCTCAAATACCCACTATTTGGCAATCTATAAAAGAAGCTTACTAACCATTATTAAAGATGAAAATGCCTCAGGAAAGACAAGAATGTGTTTAAAATATGGCCAGAATATAACTAAAGCAATAATATTAAGAATAGAGTGGAGGCAAGCATAAATTATATACTCTTTATATCATAGAGTTTTATATCATAGAGCCTCTCATAATGCAACCTAAAGTGAAGAAAGGCTCTTGACTAATAATCAAGTTTGCTATTCAATGAGCTTTGAAACTTTCTGATCTTTAGTTTTTTTTTTTTTGTGATTAATGGTATTAGATGTGGCTTCTATCCCAAGCTAAATGTAAGCCAACATTAACGTTCTTGGGACTGCAATAGAATTCCCAATGATTTGGAGGAGCTATTCCACGGAGACAATTTTGCTACACGGTACATTTGGGCAAGTGGGTAATCAACTTAGTTATACTAGATAGGCCTCGCTGCTATGGGTGCCGACAAAGAATGAAAAATGTTTTTCTCAAGTTATAGGAAGCCAGATTCATAACCATCCGTCACTTGCTTGGGCAAGTTACTGATAAACTCTGCAGAGAAAATCACAAACAGTGTATCCCTGCATCTCGCCTGTTGAAAATGAGATTCTTCCCCTGATGGATGTTAGCAGAGAGGCTTGTAAAAATGCATTTCCAACTGATTAGTTCAGAAGGTGTCAATCTCATGCGGTTTTATGACCTGCAGACGACATGCCAGATGTACAGTTGCTTTTTATAAACTAACAAAGATGAATGACCGAATCTGAATGCCCCTCTTTGGCAGCTGGACCACATATTGCCTAAGGGAAGACACTGTAGGAGAACTGGGGGTGGGGATCAGTTAACCCTTAATTTGCCAGATTAATGGAAAGAAAATATAATACTTGAAAGTACTTTCCCTTATGAAGGAGTGGCTTTAAGGGGGCGCCTATAAGAATATGAAATAGTTGTATTTAATTACTCTCTCAGGCAGATGAAGTCACATTCTAAATCTGCTAACTGAGAGAGTACCTCCATGAAATAGATCATAAATCATATATTAAAAGGTCCTCGTAAAAAACTCTGCATACGATCATAAGTCACCGCTTAATGGTTAGAATAGGTTTTGAGGGTCTAAGGGGTTGGTTTATTTTGTTTTTGTAGCCAAAAATGGTATTGAAGCCATAGGCCAATCATTTCCTGCTTGAGAGAACTCGGTCTTGAAAACTATTCTTTTATTTCAAGAGAAATGAAGGGGGCGGGGGAAACCCTATCTCTTCCAGTATTATTATAATATATCCTTATGAAGAATAGGGCCACAGAGTGGCCTCATCTTTCTTCCACTAGAAATATTAAGAAATATTTAGACATTTTTCATCTTTATGACTTTTTCGGTAGGAAAGAAATATTTTGATAAATTTATATGAAATTTCAAAGTTCAGTATCATTTGATTATCTCAACACAGGGTTTTAGATTTTTGTCAAAGAAATGAGCATGCTGCTTCAAATAATGAGCAACCCATGACCTCAGGAAGATACAACATCGACGTAGAAATGTCTGCCATAACCCATGACCTCAGGAATATACAACCTCTACATAGAAACATCCGCTAAAGCCCATGACCTTAGGAATATACACCATCTACATAGAAATGTCCGCTATAAGGAAAAATATTAATATCTCTCATCAAAAATTCAGACCCATTCATTTCCATGGCAATAGAAATTATAACAATTACGTATTAAAATACGTAAAAATTCATAAATATAAGTCAATAACCCCTTGTTAAACACATTTTCCCCAACTTCAAAGGAAATGTAATGAAGAGAATTTCAGTTGCTCTCTGTGGATGCTCAGTTTCTTCCGGTTTCAAGGAATTAAGAAAAGTTCACCCCAAACAGACTTGAAGTAAAAAGGAATGCCTTGGTTTCTAGAACTGAAAAGCCCAGAAGGTGAAGTACAGCTTTTTAAAAGACCCAAGGAAGCCGCTTTGTGTATGTCCTGTTGGTTTCTGCTCAAGCTTTTGACTCCGCTTCTTCTGGGATGGACTGATTTCCAGAGAGCTCTTGTGGTGGGCAGAAAGATAGCTCAGCAACCCTAGCTTCATGCCTCCTCCCAGTGGACCCTGGGGACAGAGTGTCTCTCCACGCAGTCCCTGGAAATCATCTTGACGCTTTAGGTCCCCTGACATTTCTGGGCCACCATGAAGACATGCATGTGTGGGCACATGGTCTGAGAGTGGGAAGAGCTAAGATACTGAAATGGGAATTCAGACGAAGGGGCGGGAGGGACAGAAGCAACACCGGGCTTGCTATGTTCTTTAGTGGACAGAGTGACGAAGGGGCCTAACGCTTCCATCTTTCGCTTCTCACCTTTTCTCTGTTGCTGTTGACCTCCTTCTGGACTGGAAACTTAATTCAATTTAGTCTCTTTCTTCTGTGAAAAGTATTTAGAACGTTCTTATTTATTTTGTGCCTGAGAAGGGTATGCAGACCTGGGATGGTCAGAGATCAGCATGCAGGAGTTAGTTCTCCCCTTCCCACCTTGTGGGTGTTGGGGATCAAACTCAGGTCGTAAACCCTGATGGCAGGCACCTTCACCCACTGAGTTCATCAACATAATTACTTCCTTTTGTGTATTGGCTACCAGTAATGAGAGGGTAAACTAAGTATGGTATAAAGCAAATAAATAATTGGGATAGTTTTCAAAAACCGAGCTATTATTTTATATAAATAAAACATAGACATCATTTAAATATTTTCATCTGAGTTTTCCATAAGGTCACATTGCAGTTTGCTACTTAAATGTGAAGCTTTTTAATTTTTTTTTGCTTGTTTGTTTTTCTTTTTTTTTTTGTTTTTTTTTTTGTTTGTTTGTTTTGTTTTTGTTTTTTCAAGACAAGATTTCACTGTAGCCATCGAGCATGTCCTGGACCTACCTCTTGTAGACCAGGCTGGCCTCGAACTCACTGAGATCCAACAACCTCTGCCTCCTGAGTGCTGGGATTAAAAGCGCGCATCATCACCGCCCCGGCTTAAATGTAAAGATTTTAAAACTGTCTTTTCAGTTACCCAGGAGCGCTTGGTGTCTTCAAGCTATTTTTGATTAACCCTTTCTATGAGAGTTGCCAAGCAGGTCCAGTTTTGTGTATTTAACTGTTTAATAAACAATGGGTTTAAAGGACCGTGTCATCACTTTGATTGACAGCCACTCACATGTCACATGGTTGGTGAGATGCCTCACCCAGAATATTTCTCTACCTCACTCATGGCGGACATTCATTCTGAGAACTGTATCACGTGAACATTTTTTTGTTTTTGCTGTTTTAGTTTCTGTGTGTGTGTGTGAGTGTGTGTGTGTGTGTGTGTGTTTTCGGTTTCTGTTTTTCGAGCCAGGGTTTTTCTGTGCACCCCTGGCTGTCCTAGAACATGCTTTGTAGACCAGGCTGGCCTCAAGCATAGACATGTGCCTACCCCTGCCTCCCAGCGCTAGGATTAAAGGCGTGTGCCACCACTGCCCACCACTGATTCTTTTTAACAACCTCCTTTATCATGAGTAATTCACATTTGCCGTGGCTTTGACTATTGGTTTTAATAATACTGTATTTTAGGGGAAACCAATTAGAAGATCAGGTTCCTATTTTAAATTTGGAAAAAAAAAATGCCTTACTTCCCTCTGGAACATATCCTTCTTAGGAGAACCGTTGCTATGGGAGATGGCTGGCTAACCCCACCTATTTCATGTTAGCACCTCCCCCCTCTCACTTTGCAGTACTTTCCCTGTTAGAGCCTCGTGGGTCCCTATCTGTTTTCTGTATGCGCCTAGTGTGGAAAGCCCTGGTGCATTTCCCTAAAATATGGCGGCTCCAGTAATTGTGTTTACAGCTTGTCCTGATTCCTTCCTCCTAAGAAGGTGCTCTAATCAGTAATGCACATTCCTCACTCAGAATGAATGGGATGTGACGACTTTCAAACATCCTCAATCTAGATCTTGACTTTCTGTAAACACAGATGCAAGATTCTACCTGTATTTCCTCTAGCTTCAGAAAGGATGTCTCATAGAGGTCACTGTCCTATATGGAGTGGCAGATCCTTTGGCACAGAACGAACCCACCAAAGGACATGAGCCACTGTTCCCCCACAGCGCAAGGAGGAGGCGCAAGGAGCAGTCCCATCTAACTGGTGTGTTGCTGTCCCTGCAGACGGACTCGTTGACTGCATGGATCCTGACTGCTGCCTACAGAGTTCCTGCCAAAATCAGCCCTACTGCCGTGGTTTGCCTGATCCTCAGGATATCATTAGCCAGAGTCTACAGACACCATCTCAGCAAGCTGCCAAGTCCTTCTACGATCGAATCAGTTTCCTGATTGGATCGGATAGCACCCACGTGCTCCCCGGAGAAAGTCCTTTCAACAAGAGGTGAATGCTTGCCTTCCTTATATAGGTTCCTAAGGATCTGAGAATGGTCCTGTGCACTTTCTGTGAAATGCTGATGAGTGTGTGCTTGAGAAAATTGCTTTAAAATATATATGCATACATACATACATACATATATAGTTTTTCCCTTTTCGGAGAATTCGTCATCAAACTTTGCATTTCAAGCATTTTTGACACAGTTCACATACTTTGTCAATTTCCGTACCTGAGACGTAACAGGACATTCGGTTAAGGAGTCAGTAAATCTTCATTTAACTAGTTGAGTTTGCGAGCGCAGTTGGAAACATTTCAGAAGGCACGAGGGAAAGACCCCAAAAGGCAAAACAGAAGTGCACTTTTTTTCCCTTTGGCTGAGCTCACTAAATAATATAAATTATGAATTAATGTAACGGAGCTGCTAACGGCATGGCGGTGAGGTTGCATAAGCTATCCGACTGGTGCTGCGCGGGGCAGTAAACGACCCGAAAATCAACCAGTAACTGAAAGCAGGTGTCTCGTGTCTCGCTGAGCAAAAGACGATGATTTACAGCGAACTCCTGGGTCTGCCGTCATTGAACAGCATTAATGCCCTGAGACCCAGCAGCAGATTAGAGCATGTTGCACACATGTTCTTTACTTACTTTGTGGTCCCAGCAGATTCCCAGATCGCCCCAGAACTAATTGGAAAATATACTTCTCTTCAGGTATGGCATATATCTGATATATGGAAAAAGAAGTATCATTTATAATTTCTGAAATTCATCTCTGAAATTATTAGTCTTGATGAGGCTCCAAAAACAAAACAAAACAGATTACGGCAAATTAAAACTCAGGGTAAGCACCAGGCATTTAGAGAAGTAAATTGCACGGAGCTGAGAGGAACATTGTGTTGGTGAGTTCCAGGGTCTGCCTTTTGTGAACAGCCTTTGATTGTGTGTGATGGCGATGTCTTATCTTTCTCATCTGATTCTCTGTAAATCATGATGATGTTGTCCTGGGAAGGCAGAGATTCATGCAGACTCTTGTACGTTTCCCACAGCCTTGCATCTGTCATCAGAGGCCAGGTCCTCACTGCTGACGGAACCCCGCTTATTGGCGTCAACGTCTCGTTTTTACATTACTCGGAATACGGATACACTATCACCCGCCAGGACGGAATGTGAGTCCGCCCGCCGCATCTCACGGTCTCTGTTTGAAGTACTTTGAGCAGAAGACTGGGCATTCATCCATCATCACCCATCATGTTTTATTGTCTTTTTTTTTTAAATAGGGAAGCAACAACTCTCAGGCAGAGATTGCAAGTCATGTACTCATATGCTATTAAAGATCATTCCAGTTTTTGAGGCATGATAGAGTATTGTGGTTTTTATCGGAGAATTTTTTTTGTCTTTGAAGATTCGTGTTGAAATATTTATTGGTCATGTCTCTTGGTGTCTGTAACCTAAGTTCAGATGGTTGCCAAGAATAGAGAGGAAGTTTAGAGAGATGCAAACAGATAAATGGGTGAGTGGAAAGGGGCTGGGTGAGTGCTGGCTATGGAATTCCTTTGGAGCATAGATTTGGAAATCGGGGGAAAAGGTTATTTTATGCATCTTATTAACTTGAGGAACGCATCAGCCATTGAATGGTGGCAGCTCACCAAGTCAGCCTTTGTACGGTGACGACTCACTACGTGCACCTTGTCTGTCCTAGGTTTGACTTGGTGGCAAATGGCGGCGCTTCTCTGACTCTGGTCTTTGAACGCTCTCCGTTCCTCACCCAGTACCACACTGTGTGGATTCCGTGGAATGTCTTTTATGTGATGGATACGCTCGTCATGAAGAAAGAAGAGAACGACATTCCCAGCTGTGACCTCAGTGGCTTTGTGAGGCCGAGTCCCATCATCGTGTCCTCACCTCTGTCCACTTTCTTCAGATCTTCTCCTGAAGACAGCCCCATCATCCCCGAGACACAGGTACAGCGTTGCAGCTGGCAGGATCTTGGCGTGGAAGCGTTTCTATCCACAGGGTGCCAAAGAATATTTTTTTAACAGTTGCAGGATTCTAGTGAGATCCTATTTCTGGAACGTGTGCTATGTGTGCTAGGGTAGAAAAATGTCTTAGAAAAGGTGACTTTTGACAGGAAACATTAGCTTTCTAAAGGTATTATCTAAAACTTTTAGTTGCCATGTTTTAAAGTCTAATAATTGATATTTCATAATGCCCCGATCCCATGGGAATAGAATATCTAACTTTTAAAGAAATAGTCATAATTAATACACATTTTATCTATTGAAATGTCTACAGATTGCTTCCTTAACTGTGTTTAGAAATAACTTTCAAATCTTAAAGGTAGGACATTAGGTACAACAGTAATTAGCCCTATGCTAAAATGCAAAGCACAACTATGTGGTTCAAGGCCAGGCCAGTGGTTCAGGACTGTAATTCCAGCCATTCAGGGGATGAAGTTAGGAGCATTTCAGGTTCAGGGCTTTCCTGGGTTGCAGAATTAATTCAAAGCCACCTTGGACAACGTAGCAAGACCCTGTCTCAAAATAAAAAGTAGATAGGGCTGGAAAGATGGCTCAGCTGCTAAAAGCACTTGCTGCACTCCCCGAGGACCAGAGTTCAGTTCCCAGCACCCACGACAGGCAGATCCCAGCCGCCTATTCAGCATCTCCAGGGAATCCATCTCCCCATTCTGCCTCCCCTGGCACCATCACGCACATGCTATATATGCACGTATGTAAAAATTTGAAAATGAATAATCTGAAATGCAACCAAAAGTATTAAAGACAGGCTGGGGACATTGCTCACTGGTAAACGACTTGCCTAGCATGTGTGATTCTAGGTCCAATCCTAAGTACTATATCAATAATAATAATAACTACATGACTAAAAATAGCATAATATTTAAAGTACACACATACGCAGCAAGTTTGTTACATTCATTCATCAGACATGTATGAAATACTTGTTCTATAGTACGAATACTTGTTCTATAGTATAAAATACTTGTTCTATAGCAACCATTGAAAATAGGAGCCAGTGGCATAGTGATCGACAAGAGTCCTGATGTATAGAAATTGGTGGTGTAGTTCAGTGGGTAGAGCTGGTGACCTGTGTGGTATTGATTCCCCAGGACCCACGTGGTAAACGGCAAGAACCAACTCCCTCAGAATGTCCTCTGACCTGCATGCCCACCTACCCAAAAAAAAATAATCATAACAGGAAAATGATTTCAACGAAGGAGGAAAGAGGTGAAAGAGAGACTTTGAATCCTTAGGCAGTATGGGACTGAGGGTCGGGCTACCTCACATCATGAAATACGTAACTGAGCAGAAACAGACATAGTGAATAGACTCTTGTCTACTGTATTTGCATGTCTGTCTGACCAGAGCTCAGCTTAACTGGGCTGAGGAGGGAGGGGGACTTGATTGGGGGAGGGGGAGGGAAATGGGAGGCGGTGGCAGAGAAGAGACAGAAACCTTAGATAGATAGATAGATAGATAGATAGATAGATAGATAGATAGATAGATAGATAGATAGATAAAACGTAGAAATAGTAGTTCAGGGAGTCAAGTGCAGGATGTGGCTTCTGACTGTTTAGCAGGGTCAAGGACGGGGCTTACAGATGTTGCAGCTGGCATAAGCAGACCTAGGGTTTATTTTCCCATTTTGGCAGAATTTGTATTTCCTAAGAATAAAATATGACATGGTAAGGTTAAATTACATAGGAGAAAGGAACACTTCTGTGAACTAAATTACAGATATTTGTTCCATGGAAGTAGGCTAATGATGACAGAGACGACAATCGGTTATTAAAATTAAGAATAACATGATATTTTGAATTAGGGGAGCAACTCCTAGGAGGCCACAGGAAGCAGTCATCAACTAATTCCCTTGCAAGTAAGAAAGACTATCAAAATATGGGAAATTGTTCTGAAAATAAATTAAGAGGAAATAATATATCATATTTTCTGAACCACTCAGGAGTCACAAAAATCTGTTTTCCAAACTAATGCGTCGACATTTCATCCTCTCACGGTAGAACGAGTTCCCTTTAGATCGTCCACACCTCATCCTGTCATGCTTTTCTTGGACGTAGGGGAGCTTTAAAAAGTTTCTCAGTGGATGGGCTGGAAGGATAAAAATACAAAATAACCTCGGAAGGTTCAGTGTGTTCATAAGCTGTTTTCCTTAATACAACTCTACGGCTGAATTCTGACTGGATAGTTAGTGCATGGATAACATGCTTAGTGAAGACTCCAGCGTGTGACACCCACACGTTAGGGTTGTGCAGACCCCAGCCTGTGACACCCACACATTTGGATTATGCAGACCCCAGCCTGTGACACCCACACGTTAGGGTTGTGCAGACCCCAGCCTATGACACCCACAAGTTTGGATTATGCAGACCCCAGCGTGTGACACCAACATGTTAGGGTTGTGCCTTCATAATCTGCTGTCCCGCATCCTGTCCGTCTTCACGCCAGCTGTTTCACAGACCACAGTGGAAGTTGGTTTAGTCCATTCCTTTGTGCCGACTTCCAGCTGTGTTTGGTTATACAGATTGATAGCCATGTCCATAATATCTGGAGCTTTACTTCAGAGATTAAAATTGGGCGGTGGCAAACCTGTGTCCGCCATTCCTAATTGTACTGCCTGAGAGATGAAGTAAGCACTGAGCCACTACTCCAAGGTTCTTATCTCAGGAAAGGCAGTCCTTGCTGACTGAATAACTGGTGTACGTTGTGATGTATTCTAATGTTTAGGAATACCATGGTAGAGGGGCCGAAGAGATGGCTCTGCAGTTAAGAGCACTGCCTGCTCTTCCAAAGGTCCTGAGTTCAATTCCCAGCAACCACATGGTGGCTCACAACCATCTGTAATGAGATCTGGTGCCCTCTTGAGGAAGGGACCTGGTCAGTCATCCTCATCAACTTAGACCATGAAACCCAATATGGACAAGTTCAACAGAACCACCATATACGGGCTGCCCACGCATGCTTCAACATTGCCTGGGCATGAATTTCATTTCATTCATGGTTGAGGAAGTGGTCGATTTCAGACATAGGTGTTTTTTAAATTTTATTTATTAGGATTTCATATGTAAATACCCTCTTACATGATTTCCACCACTTGCTCTAAGCTGAATGAGTCTATTTGACATTGCTCATGTGTGTATATGTTTATGGCTGATTGCTTGGAATTGGATAACTAACCTGGAAAGACTGAGTCTCCCCCTGGGCAGCCATTAATTACCTATAGCTCTTCAATTAGGGCTGGGACCATGTGAGATTTACCCCATCCACCTGAGCATGTCAGTTGGTGGTATCATTTTTCAGGTCTTGTTTAGGCAACTATATTGTTGAGATTTCATGGGTGCAGTTTCCATGACATGTGCGTGCACGCGCGCACACACACACACACACACACACACACACACACACACAAGCATGTCCTGGTCCTCGGGCTCTTACAATTTTTCTTAGTCATCTTCTGTGATGTTCCCCAAGCCTTACGTTGATTATTTGGCGTCGGGAATACCATAGTCAGTTGTCCTCTGCATTTGGACCAGTTGTGGATTTTTGTAATGATGTCTATCTGCTGAAGAATGAAGTGGTTTTGTAGTTGAGTATGTAATTACGAGAAGGCAGTGCCATTCCATCACATCTCTACATGGGTATGGGATCGGCTGCACTTATTTAACCCAGGTGAGTCTGCCTTCCTTGGCGTTCCCGGCTTTCTAACCACGACCTAAGTAGGCTAATGAGGCCATAGGCTGAGGATCAGTCGCTAAGGGACCAGCTAATGACACATCCGTGTTCCGAGCTAACCACTGTACAAATGTCAGCTGTGACCTCGGAGTGACTGGAGTAGGGGGTGAATGAGTGAGGATCTCCTGTGACTGCCGTACCAACAGCTGTACGAAGAGTGTGATTAACTCGGGATAAATGACAACAAGCTTTTTGGAGGAGAACATTAGGTTGGCGGCAGAACTGTTCATAATCATTGGCTAAGATAACAGCTCAGATGTTATCTGTGAATCGTGACCCTGCTGTGTCTTATTTTCTGTGCTCTGCTGGGTTCTGCTCACTGTATCTTCTCAATTTGGGCACACATGATCCCAGTAACAAGCTTGTGCTTTTTTTTTTTTTTCAAACCTAGGTCCTACATGAAGAAACCACAATTCCAGGCACGGATTTGAAGCTTTCCTACCTGAGTTCCAGAGCCGCGGGGTACAAGTCAGTTCTTAAGATCACCATGACCCAGGCCGTCATACCATTTAACCTCATGAAGGTCCATCTGATGGTCGCTGTGGTTGGGAGACTGTTCCAGAAGTGGTTCCCTGCCTCGCCAAACTTGGCCTATACTTTTATCTGGGATAAGACTGACGCGTATAATCAGAAAGTCTACGGCCTGTCGGAAGCAGTTGGTAAGCTTAGCGGCTATGCCCTGTGCGTTGAAAAAGTGGCTTTGAGGTTAGAAGCTATAAAGAAGTCATCAGAAACCCATGGCAAACAAATGGATAAGCAGCTATGGTAGCGGCAGGTTCGTCTAGAGAAATACAGGTGGGGTGTTTCCTGATCCGCTCTGGAAAGGTATCCATAGGAAGGTATCCCATATGATGAGAAGAAAGACAGTCAGCATTTCTGACTGGAATCATCTGGGGAATTTCAGGTTACTGGATTCTTTCTTTCCCTGTGGCACCCTTCCCCATTTCTTCTTCTTCCTTCTTCCTTGACAGCTTGGTCTCGCTAGTTTTTAGCATCACGCTAATGTTTTCCGAATGTAGCAGTGGGTGGTTTCGGGCCTGATGATGGTTGGCAGTGTAGCAAACAAAATTTGGATCCAAGAATTGCCTCAGCTCCTCTGACCAGAGTGCCAGTGTCAGGGTGAACTGGAAACATCAAGTCACTGTTTCAGTGAATGGCCAGACGGTACCATCCAAACTCAACGTGTCTAGTACAGCATCAAGCTCAAGTCAGAACATCAACAACCTCAGGGAAACATGGCTTTTATACCTTCAATTTTACTTTAAAATACATTTTTATTCTCCAAAATTAATCTAATTTGTATTTGAATTGTTTCCCATCAATCCGATAGTTATTACTTTTCTCTTTTTTTTTTCTAAAATTTTAAATCCTTGGTTCATTTTAAATTCTTAAAAGTCTTTTCATTGTGAATTGGTATTAATTTACTATTAATTTTTGCTGCTTATGCCTGCTATGTATAAATACATAAATATTTTCCGTAATGAAAGTTCTTAGGCACAAAACATTTCTGGTTATTTATATAACAAATAATATTTTCAGTTGGTTTTATCTAATTGCAATTTCTGAAAACCTATTTTACAGAATTTTTAATTAGCTCCTTAATTTAGACCTAATATTGTCCTGGGAACCCCTTGTAAGAGTGAAAGGCGGGGGATTATATTCTATTAAATCAGTATAAAATAACATTTGGAGATGGTTGCTTTTATCTTTCATATGGCAAAATCTCCTTACATAAAAACAAACTCCTTGATAAATGAGTGGAGCTATAATCTCAGAACACAATTGTGAATTTCCCTCCAAATCTTAAGACCCCGCATCCTTTTCCTTTGCGGCTGAGGGGTGAGCTGTGAGCATCCTTTTCCCGTGCAGCTGAGTGGGTGTGGTTTGAAGACCGAGTCCTTTTCCCCTGCGACTGAGGGATGAGCTGTGGTTTGTTTTGCTTTCAGTGTCTGTTGGGTACGAATATGAGTCATGTTTGGACCTGACTCTATGGGAAAAGAGGACTGCCGTTTTGCAAGGCTACGAGCTGGACGCTTCCAACATGGGTGGCTGGACGCTAGATAAGCATCATGTGCTGGACGTTCAGAACGGTAAGCTCTCGCTTGCGGTCATCACTGCCCAGCCTCGCGCTGACTGCACGGCGCTGCCCTGCAACAGGTTCTTATCCCGTGAGCACTGCAGGAATGGAAGTAGTGGGAAACAAATGATAAAGGGATCATTTGAGGCCCGTGAAAGTCTTAGAATTACAATTCTCTTCCTGAATTTCCAAATGCGCCTATGTTCATTGACACAGTAATTTTCCCATGGGAGCAGAAATTGCTGACGCTGGTGAAATCGCGCTGTCTGTCTGCGTTTCTTCTGCGCAGATTCATCCGCAAGTGCCTGGTTCTCCACAGAAGTGTGTGTGCCTTGGGCTCTGGAAGGGGTTGCTAAATCTGGAGGCAAAGTGATTTATTTTAAAGAAAGATAAAAATCCTTGTGACTTTACCAGTAGATTTCCAGTGCATTCAAGTGTCCAGCTGAGCCTCCACCACCCCAGGTTCTTTTTAGTCTTTATTGAAGAAAAAGGCAAAAACAAATGAATTATCACTCAAAAAAATTGTAGCTTGATTTTGTGATGATTGGGGGAAATATAAATGAATAATTTGAGAGAGGAAAAACTAAAGTACTTCTTCTAGCAGACCTGACAATATGATAATAGATGTACTCCAGGGAAACACATTTTGGACGTCACACACCAAAAATCCATGCCCTGCAGAGTGTGAACCATCCCTTCCCATACATAAAAGCTCTGGCAGGAAGGAATTCTGCTGCCTCTACTCCGTGCCTGACATTCTGCTTGCATGCTTGTCCACATGTCAGAGCATCCGAAGGTGTTTTATCTAAAAGAACAGGGCTTTAAGGAAACCAATTCTAACCTGTCTTAAACCTTCTCATACTGAGAAGTCTCTACTTTCCTTCTATGAGTAGCGAGAGGAGATGTCCGTGCTTTCTGAGTAATTCTGACTTTTTTGGGAGAGTCGAAATGTTGAATTGAGACAATCACACCATTAACTCCTCACGATCGACCGTCAGGTCTGGAGTGACGAGTGAATGAGTCTTTGATGGTTGCTCTGACTTTAAAACTATGAGTGCTGGGAAGAAGGTATCAACTCTCTAAGTATACTGACTGCGAGGTAGTTTCCAAGTAGGTCTTTGAAACTGCTGATGCCTTATCTTGAGGAGACGGTGAAAAGTAGGGCGTAGATCACTCTGGAAGACAAACAGAATCCTCTTCATGTCTTTTCCTGGTTTTGCAGCAGTGTCTAGCTCTCTTCTTCCCCGTGTGTCCTGGCCATCGGTGTGCATTGCACAAGGTTGGAAACACAGTCCCTCTCAAGCACTACACAGAGCACACACGTTCTACACGTAGGCGTGTAGCTCAGCGGGAGCAGCACTTGCCTAGCCAGCACATAGCCCGGATAAACCAGGCTATGTGGCACACACCTGCAACTCTAGTTCCTGCGAAGAGGCGAAGGCAGGAAAGTCAGAGATTGCAGATCATCCTTGGCTACCTAGGCAGTTTGGAGCTATCTAGAAAACTTTAAAACTTAAAAAAAAAAAGAGAGAGGGAAGAAGAAGAAGGAACTCCCACCCGTCAAGAACACTCCATATGTCGTCTCGAAGCTTCCCTTGCCTTGAGTCATCGGTGTTATCTGAAGTGGTGGTAGCCTGTGATGTGAGTCACACCGAGCCGAATCGTGATCTTTCAGGCTGCAGAGGCACGTGCCAGCCATGCTTGCGGCTGGTCCTGATTCAGTTATTTAAAATCATATTCCACGCATTTTCCACATATTTCCGTATTCCCGCACGAGTCCCTCACAAACAAACCTGAGGGAACACTGTGCTAAGTATGTTGTAGTTATGATGAAAATACAGTATAAAATTCAGAGCCAGGTAACGACAGGATTTCTCCGAGGGACTAGAAATCAATAGGGAGAATATAGGCATCGAGCCCAACTCGCGTACTTCACCCCTGTTGGGATACTTGATTATAGCACTCGGAAAGATGAAGTATATGGATATTGTGTAGGGTCACATAATATAAACATATATATAAACACATATTCTAATCCCGGATAATATATAGGAGGTTTTTATTATAATACCAGATCAGGTTTTAAAGCTGAGCTGCCAAGAATTCTGTTTTTCAAAAAACGATTGTTACAAAATGTTGTTTGAAAATAGGAGGTGGCCTGAGTCCCATGGTGAACGGTTTGCAGTGTAAACTTGAATCCAAGAGCAGCTTGGCCAGCAGTGGCTTTCCCAAGTGACATGTGTCTGATTGAATAAACAAAGCGACTCGCAGCTGGGACAAGCGGGATGAGCAGTGGCTGTGGAAGACAAGAAGGCACAGATGGAGGTGGTGACGGCTGTTGGTTCAGGCATCCTTGAACATGGGGACAAATACTGTGATGCTGACCGCTCTGCTGCGTTGTCACGGAGGACACTCGTGAAGGGCCGGTCATTCTGTGTCATGCAGACATCAGATGCAGTAGAGCAGCGGAATGACTCATAGGGTTCTTCTGATAAAAATTGCAGCGCTCTCCCAGGAAATTATACGTCCATAATTGTCAAATAATGTAATCACAGAAAGGAAAAAAATCTTAGGTTATCATCCATGTCTTTGAATATTCAAGGCAAAAAGCGTTTCATCTCTTGTTATGATCCAGACTTATTTAAATTATTTTCTCTTAAATTTGAATAAACCTGTTTTATCATTCCTGATTTCTTGATGTAAATTCGCCGTGATTATTACATCACCCAAATAGCGAGGCATTTAAAAAAAGTAATCACAAAACGCACCTAAAATGTGCCGAGCTATAAGGGGAGTGCAATTATTCTGATCACTTCTTCGCTTTCAAATTATCCCAAAGTGGAGGAAAAATCACGTTTTCGAGTTTTCTGTCTGCACTTTCACAAGATTATTCTGCCAGTCTATCTGCTGAGAAGTACACTCATTAGCTCTGAGAACTACTCTGAAGCATAGAACGCCCAATAAATACAATAGATACAGCTCGAAAGCCGAAGTAGCAAGTGGTTTATACAGCTAATAACACATCAAGGTGTGTCCTAAAATATGCGTGGGAGGGGAAGAGCTGAGAAGCCAGTTAGTAACAGATGCCCGCCATTGATCTGCACAGGGTAGTAGCGAAGTGAAGCAAGATGAAGTCGCAAATCTTCATTCTCACTAAGAAAGTACTAAATACTCCTTTGGAATTTTTTTCTCACATTTTCAGTGATGGTCATTAAGGAGCTGGTTGGCATTTTTGTCTTTGTGAAATTATTGACACTTTCATGCCTTAGAGTTCAGTTTGAATAACAAGCTGGCCTTCGGCATCAGTTCATTGGGATTTGAGTTTTAAATAATTTTAGATAGATAGATAGATAGATAGATAGATAGATAGATAGATAGATAGATAGATAGATAGATATAGATAGATAGATAGATTTACATCAAATGAATGTTAGACTACCCTGTGTGTGTTTGTGTGCCATTATATGTGTGTGTGTGAGTGTGTGTGTGTGTTTACATCAGATGACTATGAAGCAAGACCCCTTGACAGTACAGCAGAGTTAAAAGTAGGCCTCTATAGGCCAGGGGTGTGGCTCAGTGATAGATTATATGTTTATCGTGAGACCTGTAAATAAATACTTTCTAACCTTATTTCCATAAAGTATTTTTAGCTTTTTTTTAAAACTCATGGCAAATTTATAAGAAACTCATATTCCAAGGGTGCAATTTTACTAATCAGGTTAATATGTAATATTTTCCACATTGATTAACAATGAGGCAAACTTTCTGTTTCCTAAGGAACGTTCCATAGAGCATGGTTCTCAAGCTTGGCTGCCCATTGAGATCACCTGGAGAGTTTTTAAAGATGAGAACACTAAGGCTGCACCCAGACCCATTAAATCAGACTCTCTTGGGGCAAGGCCCAGCCATCAGAAATTTTCTACAGTCCTCCAGACTACTCTAACGTGTAGCCACGATCAAGGCTCGCTGGTGTTGAGAACTTAGAGTTTTAATACCTTCTCTTAGTCCAGTGCTCCTCCCTCTAGTCTGTCTACTCATAACAGACAGTACTTCCTAAATAGAACCTGTGTGGCTTTTCATGTAATAGCTTCAAGTTTCCAGTTCTAGATCGGAAAGACACTGCACCATCGTGAGATTTCTCAAGGGCATGTTTGCCTTTCATCATTCGCTTACACCGTAAGAAAAATGCACTTTTCCTTCCAGGTATACTGTACAAAGGAAACGGGGAAAATCAGTTCATCTCCCAGCAGCCTCCAGTGGTCAGTAGCATCATGGGCAATGGTCGGAGGCGCAGCATCTCATGCCCAAGTTGCAATGGCCAAGCTGACGGGAACAAACTGCTGGCACCAGTGGCGCTAGCCTGCGGGATCGACGGCAGTCTTTATGTAGGGGATTTCAACTACGTCCGACGGATATTCCCTTCTGGGAACGTCACAAGCGTTTTAGAGCTAAGGTATGTCTTTCCTCTGTTGGGGGCGCCAATCAAAGACAAACGTATCCTTAAAAATTGAAGTTGGATGTGGTATGCTGAATCATTTATTTAAAGATACATCCCCACAATTTAAAACTTACCATAGGAAGGGTATACTTCTTAACTAGAGGTAGACGGTCAGCAGTCTGTAGTGTTTTTAATGTATAAAGTTGTCTGATGTGGAAAATATCTTACTCAGTCCAGCGATTTTCTTGTTCTGGGAACCGACGGGGAAAATGACAACTTTTTCTAATATCTTTAATTTTCCTTAGAATCAAAATGCAGCCCAGGAATTCATCTTTATTTCACAGTGGTTGAAACGGAGGCAGGAGATGTTTTCTCTGGAATCGAGATGCGGTAGTGAATAAGCAGGAATGTTGGGTGCAGAGTTGGGTCCGCCCAATCATTAGCTGTAATCTGAATAGTAAAAACAGCACGCCCTTGTCTTGCTTTGTCTGAAGTGTGATTATCAACCAATTCTGACAGCAGAGTTCATTGCCAGTGTTCTCTCAGCTTAAACTGCAATTTTCCTTACAAGTAATTAAAACCCCAATATTGATCTCGTTCTGTTTCAGAAGCCTTTTCTAACTCTGCTTCTTTTTTTTTTTTTTACCTTCCTTTTAACTGCTTCCACCAAGAAATAAAGATTTTAGACATAGGTAAGCATTCTGCTTAAAGGTTATTGCATATTTTTCCGATGTCCTTTTTTATGTCTCAATGTGACTCTTTGAAATTGTTTTTTAATAGCATCATCTTGAAAGGAAGCTCAGAATCACAGAACATCTCAGGAATTAAAACTGCTTAATTGGACAATTACATAACTCACTGCAAAATATATTGTGTGACAGGATTTTAGGGATATTTTCAAGTTGGTTTATAGGAAAAATCTTGTCACAAGGAATTCTAATGTGCAGTTACTGACTTACATAACCCAAGCCTTATGGAACAGAGCAAAGGTTCAACACAGTCAAGGTCAATGAGGTAGCATAGTTTGACCCCTCTCCAGGACAGATTATGTATTATTGGGCACAAAGCTAATTCAGTTTGAGAAACTCTTTAAGAAAAATAATCTGAAAACATTGTACAATGATAATTTTTTAATATTATCTGTCTGATCAATATAAGCATACTGCTCGAGACCCTGCGAACTAGGAAAGGTTCCCCCCTCTCTAGCACCCTACAGGCTTATCTCTGCCTGGGATTTCTAATATCCCGCACTGGAACAGCTGTCAGATCCAAGAAGTAGTATTTTTGTTGCCATGATTATGCGGAGAAAGACTTTCTTCAAAGTTCAAGATGAATATAGAATCCTGTCAGCCTGAAGGTTGCTCATATCCTGTTGATAAGTACACTTGCCTGAAGAAGTTACATACAATAAAATCCTTCTGAGAACAGGCTTCTCTGACAGCCCTTCTTTAATGACAGAGGAAAAAAAAAATAAGAAAGAGCTAGTGAAAAGCAAGACGGCTTAGACATGCCAGATCTAGCCTGGCCATCTAATGCGATGATATATGTAAAAGGTAGCATGTTATTTTATGTCCGAGATCTTAGATGCCTGAGTCAATATAGCTCACTGGAACTGTTGTAGAGATTGACAGCTAGCAAATGGTGGAGCCCTGCTAACAGACAGATAACTGTTGCAGATCAGAGTACCCAGACATGGTCCCAGGACCCTTCCCTGAGGTTCTGTATTGGCCTGATATTTTCAGCTAATGGCCCAGTCACATGCTAAGGTTGACACTAAATCTCCCCCAGAGCACACTGAGCGTACCGCTAGGAGCCCCAAGAATATCAACGCTTCTCTGCTTGTTTTCTTGGTAGTCATGGAGAAGGGAAGACAGACAGACAGGTCTGCACACCAGCCCCCGTGTGAAAATGCTGGAGGCGATACAGGAAAGCCGAGAAAGCCTACCTTTTAACAAGCTGCCCTATTACACGCCAGGCATTGTGCCAGACACTTCTTGTATGTTATTAGAGAGCCACACAGTAATCCCTCAGGTTCCACATGAGGTAATGCAAGCTGGAAGGTATTACATCCCAAGATACACAACTAAGAAACGTGAGGCAGAGATTTGAACCCCTCTCGTGTGCCTGTTCTTTCCTCTCTATCACACTCCTCATTCTTATGTGTTCTCCCGTGGCCAGGATTCTATAAGGAGACTTCCTAGAAATGCAATAATATAAAATAAAATAAAATAAAAATGCTTTAAAAAGTTTAGACTTACTTCACAGTCATTTTTGCAAGTTATTTACGATTATCCTCCCTGGGTAAAATATGTCTGGGTTTGGAGCTTGGCTGTTATGCATTCTGCCATAGAATATGAAGTCAATATAGCTAACTCCTGGCACTTGGCAGTGACACTTAATGGAACCGCTCTCCCTAGTCGTCTGTCGGCTTTCTCTGTGTGTCCTTCTGACTGCATTTGAGCTTCTCCCTTTCCTTTCTGTGGCACCCGGGAATGCCGTACTATTTGGGCTGTGTATATGTATTGATACTCGTGGGTGTTAACTCTAACAGTGTTTAAATGATTGGTCCCCCTGTGCCAGACACTTTGATGAATGGTAATCAAAGACTGAGCTCTTGGAAACTCACATAGAATGGCAAACCAGCCATTGGTGTAGCTGACTGGCATCTTCGGTGTTATTTTTGGGCACATTGTGTACATACCTGACCCATGAAGACGGTTCTTGGAGGAAAAGATAACTGGGAGATAACAGAATAGTAAGGAAGTTTCTAGAAAAGTATTGATATTTGAGCTAGATCTAAGAATAAAATCTGTTTATTTAAGGATATAAAAGGATGATGTTCGTAGGATGAAAAACCAATAGAGAGTAAATAAATATATGGGGGTCTAAGGTGAAGCAAGCAAGATATTCCAAGAGTAATCCTACCCACCCGAATAAAGTGGGGATTTGTGTGGGTAACAATGAGAGACACAGGTTGAAGCCCTTTATGGTCAACTTGCTTAGGGCTGCCTTGAGCTCCCTGAAAAAAAATTACTCAAAGAGTGAAGAGATATGTTAGGGTTATGAAAAAGTGGCATGTTCAATGTGGCCTTTTAGGAATATAATATACTTTATAAGATCACTTAGAAAGTTAATACACTAGACCATGAGAGCAAGCATACCTGGAAGAGGAGGCTCAACAGTGAGGAACTCAGCCGAGAAGAAGGCAGACAGTGGACAGAGCCTGTGGGTGTTAGAAGTTGGAGGCACATGCCTCTAATCCCAGCACCTGGGAGGTTGAAGCACCTGTATTGCTGCAAGTTTATATCACCCTGGCATACAGAGTGAGCAGAAAAACAAAAGGCAAAAATGTAGAAAATGCGCAAGGTGTTTGAGCCCCGTTCATCAAACAGATAACGACATCATTAGTGCCATTAATGATTTTGTGTGTTGAACAACCGTCTAAATCGGCCTGACAAAAATCAGCATACTTAAAAATTCATTGGCACATTCTCACTTAGCTTTAGACAAACTGAAATGCTTTCCCAGCCTAGTGGCACAGACCTGTAATCCTAGCTGCTCAGGAGACCAGTCAGGAACAGCTGAGTTCAAGGTCAGCCTGGGTCAGAGGGAGGCTCTCAGAATAAACAGCAATTAAAAGGCGGGCATGTAGCTCAGCAGTAGAGCACTGGGCCAGCCTGAGTAAGGCCCTTCTTTCAGCCGTCATTACAAGCAGAAAGATATTTTGTTTGGTATTGCATTATAGTCTACTTTTCTGCATCACAGAGCAGTTGTGAGCAAATCAGGAACAAGCAGCAGAAAGAAGGGAAGTCACAAAATGTGTCTAATTCTACATACAGGAGTGGCATTTGTCAGTTGGAGATGATTTAATATATATAGACTAGCTGCTTCTGGTCCTCTTCCTGTATTGCATACACCACAGACTGTCATTAATTATACCAATGGAAGCCATAATCAAAATATTGGTCAGGAATATTAAGAGACAGTCTTATTCTTTACAGATTCAAATAGGACACTATTATGGCAAGTTATTAAGTACTGCCAAAATATTCTGTAAAATAAAATCCCTTAGTTATACTTAGTTATACTTGGTCATCATTTAATTCTTTTAACTGGCAACACTAACATGATTATAAAATGGGTTTCTGTTTGATAGTCTAAATCTCCCCCTCTGATGTTTATTACTTTGCTAATAAAACCTTTCATAGATAGTAAATTTTAGCTCACCCTTGTTCAAATTCCTTAAATTCCAAACTAAAAACCTTAAATTAACTCATTAATACCAGCCAAGGGGCATTTAAGCGTATAGGACTAAAAAAAAAAAAAATCAACCTTGTGAATTTTATATTACCAATTAAAGGATCAAAGCAAATCTCTATCACAAATCTTGTGTTTGAATTAATTAAATTTTTGAAATAAAACTATCAAGACTTGAGTCAGCATTTCCTATTGATTTTATTAGACAGACCATCTCCCAGGTCTCTGTTTGCAATCATCGAAGCAGTCTTTTGGTTCCCATAAAATAGGCAGTTTTGCTTTTATACATAAAAGGAATTCGTTCTGCTTCTTCTAACTCTTTGTGTGCAAAGAGCTGAGGCACAGTTTCCAAGTGAAAAGATAAAAAGTGTTAATAGCGTGCATTTTCTGAGCTGTTCGCTGCAAGTGTCTCTCTCATCTAAGAAGGCTGAATTATGAGAAAATAAATGAGTGTAACCAGCCCGCACTTGCCCCTGGGTCTGTGTCCAATTGACAAGACTACAGGGAAGATGTCTTGATAACGGGCATCTAGGTCATCCTCCCTCAGTTTAGAATCGAGGCGCAGTAGACGGAAGGTGTTGACTTGAGCTTGCCTCCTTGCTTTTTGCAGCTGTTAGGCACGGCTGTCATTTTGAACCCGTCTGAAACAGCAAAATCCCAGACAGCCAATCGCACGGAAACGCTCAGTGTTTCTGTGTTGAACACAGATTTTCCCCCAAAACATGGCCTTTCTAAACCGCTATGCCCTGTGACCAACTGCAGCCCTGTTCCCGTCGCTGTGACCTCTGATTACAGATTACAGACTACACACTAGACGCTCTTCTCATCTGAGGCCCACTGCCCTTCTGAAGCAACACACCAGCCCCTCGATGACCTTTGGGACAATAGAAAGCAGGTTCTTGTGCACCCTGTCAGGGAACTCCTCAAACTTAAAATCAGATGATCTTGAGTCAAACTCCTGTTGTGTATGTGATTCAGAACTCCTCTGTCACGTGTCTGTCAAGTAAAACTTTCCACACTCACTTTTGTCATAGTGTTTTAGTTTGGTTTGGTTTGGGTTTTTTTTTGGGGGGGGGATTCTTTATTTAGTTTTATTTTTAGAATTTCCAGCATGAATGCTGTATTCTCATCATTTCTACTCTTTCCACTTTCCGGTCCTGTGCCCCCTCAAATTTAACTTCTTCATTATTGTGACATTTGTCTGTCTGCCTCTCTCTCTCTCTCTCTCTCTCTCTCTCTCTCTCTCTCTCTCTCTCTCGTGTGTGTGTGTGTGTGTGTGTGTGTGTGTGTGTGTGTGTGTGTGGTCTCCGCAGCTATTGGCTGCCTGTAACTCTTCATCTAGGACTTTGTAAAACTTCCCCCATCCATGTTGGCGTATCACCTGGTGGTATCATTTTTGTCCCATTTCAGCTCTGTAGAGATGTGTGCCACCTGTGTGAAGCCAGGGCCTAAGGAGTGGCTGTCAGTCAAGACTGCACCACCTCTCTTGGGCATGCGCACTTCCGCAAGGTCCTCTGGACAACAGGGTTGTAGGCACGATGAGACCTTCCCCTCCTTCGATGTTGTCAGCCTGTGCTGCTTGTTTGAAAGTGACTGTGTCTTCAGTCACTCGTGCAAACTGTAATCCTAGCATGGCAGAAGTAGAGGCAGGTGGTCAATGACTTTCAAACCAGGCTCCTTGTGAGTTCAAGCTCAGCCTTGGTCGTATGATGAGACCTTTGTCTCAAAAGAAAAAGGAAAAGGAAACACCTGTGTGTCAAGGAAGGCGGATGATGCTTTACCCAGCAGATCTAACACACACACACACAACCATCAAATTACTGCCCAACTAGCTATCACCATTGCCAATCAAAGCCCAGCTTAGTGGATTGGTCTGTGCATTAGTTTTGCACCAAGAAATCTCATGCCCCATGTCTAGAGAGTGGGCTGCCCCCACTCTAATAGCAAATCTAATGTCTCAGAATGAAGGATATGATGAAGAAGTATGTTAGTTCGTGTAACTTTCTTGTAATTACTCTCGAAACAACTCAGCGAACATCGTAGGATGAGCCTGGACTTTGTTCTAATAGCTTAGTAGATTACAAATTGCTGATATGGCAGCAGAAACAAGCAAATTTGAATCTATTCACATTCTGAGACTTTTTTCCCCCTAACATTTCTGAACATGAGTCAGACCTCCTAGCATATGATATATGTATATTAGGAAAGGCATATTGAAATTTCACGGTGGACAGAAAAATAGCAAATAGTAAGGCCAGCTGGTTCCTACTGAGTAGGTCTTAGAGACCAGGCTCTGTTCTAAAGATTGTACTCAATGGACAGCAAGACAGCTTAGTGGGTAAGGTACCTGCCACCAAACCTGACGGCGTGAGGTCAAGGCCTGGAACTCAATGAGGGAAAACCACGACTCTTCCGTGTTGCCCTTTGACCTCCACATGTGTTCTGTGGCTTGCACTTATGCACACACAGTAAATAAACATCATTTTTCCTAGGAGTATTTGTTCATTTTATGTGTGGGGGTGTTTTGAGTACGGGTACATCTGCATGCTACACGCCTGCAGTTCTTGTAGAGGGCAGAAGAAGGATATCAGCTCCCCTGGGACTGGAATTGAACATGGGTTCTCTGGTAAAACAACATCTCTCCAGCCCCAATAAATGTAATTTTTTTAAACAGCCAGAGAAATGGCTCGGCAGAGGACTCGATCTCGGTTCTCAACACCCACATGTCAGCTCTCCACCACCAGTAACTCCAGCTCCAGGGAATTTAACGCCCACTTGTGGTCTCTGCAGACACCTTTGCTCATGTACACACACTCACACAGAGATATACACACACAGTTAAAAACAATCCATCTTTTGAAATGTTTAGAGATACCCACGTATTAAGTCTTGTTATCCTCCCAGCATCCTGAGAAGAATCTGTTGTTGTTGCCGCCTTGTAGTTAAAGATTCTGAGTCACAGTTAGCTTGTACTTATTAAGTGATGAACCTGGGATTCAAACCCAGTCAGAGTAGTCCATACCTCATTCTTATAGGTGTACAAATAACAAGAGAAATTAATCATGGACAGCCAAAAAAAAAAAAAACTACACAGTTATCACATAGTCAGGGAAGTAGGAAAGACTAGAGCATCTCTCCATTGGCACATCTTTTGAATAAACCCAACGTGATGGACCTCAGACTTTGTGACTGATTGTGCACAGCTGAAAGGCCAGCTCTCGGGCTGTTGGTAGAGTTGTGGTCACAGCTGTGCCATTACTCCCGAATGAAAATGATGTCATCACATCTATCATGGTCAATAGGCCATTTGCTGCACATCAGACTTCTGAGATGCTCCTATTCTCTCACTTCCTTCTGAGTCCTTCGGAGAACCGTCTATCCTTATTATCTGCCTGTGTTTAAGGCCTCTTGGTCTAACCCGACTCTTCATGCTAAAAGATACCGAAGGCTGGAAGGAGACCTAAAGACCTGAGAGGTTAGGGCCTTAGTGTGGCTGTGGCCTCACAGCCCTAGTGCCCCCTGGCGCTCCAGAAGTCCCTGCTGTCTACATGATGGGCTCTGCTCCCCAATGTGAGAAACACGAGTAGAAACTCTAACACTGTAGCAAAGGCCCTCACATTAAAGGACACACGTTCACTGATTGCACAACACATGAGATTAGCGATGGGACTGTAGGACTGCTCACTAGGAAACCAAGACGACCTGGGTTCAGACCTCCGGCACCCATGTGAAAGCTGGACCTATTGGCACATGTCTGTTCCTCTAGCACTGGGGTCCAGAGGCAGGTGGATCCCCGGGCCCCTAGGGTGCGCTATTTTAGCTGACTTTAAAAACTCTGGATTCAGTGAGAGCCCCATCTCAAAAATTAAGCCCTAGAACAATAGAGGAAGACCCAACATCAACCTCTGTCCTGCACACACATATACCACACACTCACACACAAACAACTAAATAAAAATTTAAAAGAACATTAAATAGTTAGAATGGCTTCATTATAGCATAACATAATTATTATTATAAATTATTATTTCATTATCAAAATTAAAAGGTTTATATTAATCTTATACTGCATTTTTTTTTATTTTTGAGATTATGATATCATTGCATCATTTCCCTCCTCCTTTTCCACTTTTCCCATTCCTCCTCCGAATGTTTTATGAATTCTCCCCTTGCTCTCTTTCAAATCCATTGCATCTTTCTCTTTAATTGTTGTTGGTTGTAGTGGTGGTGGTGGTGGTGGTGGTGGTGGTGGTGGTGGTGTGTGTGTGTGTGTGTTTGTGTTTGTGCACACGTACTCTCTCTTCTCTGGGGAAAACTTATTTTTCCCTGATCTCAGGATTCTTATTTCTTGGGGTTCTTCGTGTAGAACTGGGGCTTCATGAACCATCCATCTTCTATGTCAGCATGGTGTATTCTTGTTCTGGTCATGTTTAGGCAGCCATGGTGGATAGACTTCACATATATAGCATCTCCGATGTTTCTAGGAGACACAATCTCACAGATGTTCACATACAAAATATATAAGTGTGTGACTTTTTCCGTATTGGACGGCCAAGAGATGGAAGGAATAAAGAAAAGGGGTGAGGTAGGGCGAGAGGGGAAGAGAACATGAAACCAAGCTTGTTCTCAAAAGCTATGTTATTTAATGGATCCCATCTTCGCTCTCCCCACTGAAACACCAAGTCACTCAGACTATTTCTGTCCTTTCCAGAGGACCATATTTGCACGTGATCCAAAAGTCACATTGCTAAGAAAGTAGTGTTCGGAGATTGCCTTCTGCATTTGGATGGATTATCTCATCTTATCCCTGTAGTTCTGAGCAGACAGCATACCCACACCATCTGCTTTTCTGGACTGTTCGATAGCAACTACGATGGGCATAAGGCTGCATTCTTGGTAGGGGGGAGGAAATTGTTTGTGAGGTTTGCAGGAAAGCAAAGCAATGTTAAGTCCATGGAGAATGTGCTGGAGGGGTCTTTCCCTAGAATAAACTTCATCTATCTGTCAGGGCACTTGCTTCCTTATTTGAGGCTAGAGCAAGGTTTGTTGGTTTTAATAATGCCTCTTGGTGGGGGCTGAAGAGATGGTTCCACAGTTAAGAACATTTGGTGCTCTTCCAGAGGACCAACGTTTGATTCTTAACTCCAGTTCCAGGGGATCTGATGCCCTCTTCTGGCCTCCATTGGCACCGGCACGCTCTTGGCACACACACACACACACACACACACACACACACACACACACACACTTGCAGGCAAAATATCCATACGCATAAAATGTAAAATCAAATAAAGAATTATGGCTAACTAGTAGTTGAGTCCTCACCACCAAACCAGAAAAAAAAGAAATACATCACAGACTTAAAATCATCTCATCTTGGAGACTCTTGCCACCTCAGATCACAGTCTCTTAAGTCATTATCACTTAGCCTGCTCTTTGTCCAGCCTCTGACAAAGGGGTCGCAGTTGATAAACACTTTCTCTTGGCATGTTTTATTTCGTTTTCATTCCCCTCTGCGCACAAGGGTGAGCTCCCTTCTAATATTTACACGTGAATCTTTTTACAGTAGCAACCCGGCTCACAGATACTACCTGGCTACGGATCCGGTCACAGGAGATTTGTACGTTTCCGATACCAACACACGCAGAATCTACCGTCCAAAGTCACTCACGGGCGCCAAAGACTTGACTAAAAACGCGGAAGTGGTTGCAGGGACCGGGGAACAGTGCCTTCCTTTCGACGAGGCCCGGTGTGGGGACGGAGGGAAGGCTGTGGAAGCAACGCTCATGAGTCCCAAAGGTACTGGCAATTATCAATCTAGGCTTTTCTTTCGACTATATGTTTTATGAAGGTAAAAAAAAATATATATCCACCTGGTTCCCGAGTCTATTGTTTTATCTCCAACTGTGTTCTGGAAAAACGCATCACATCTAGTGCCTCTAAAGCCATTTATCATGAAATTGTTCGAAACAAAGTTGTTGGGTTTTTTTTTACAGTAAATACAAGGTTCTTGACTTTTTAAGAACAAAACCCATCATACTATGGTTACTTTTTTTTCAACTTTTCCAAGACTGAAGCAACCACTCTGTATTATTCAGGTCACGTCCTATTAAACTTCAGATCCCTTCATTGTCCTGGAATTTCCTTGTCGTGAATGAGTCCCAGGCCTCTCTAAAAGCATCACTAAGCAACCCTATTAGCTCTCACCCACTTCAGGGCCGTTCAACTTTTGTCTCCATGCCATGGGAAAATCTGCTCCCTATGGGGAGTTTGGGGGGGGGGGGTTAACGGGCTAAAATTCTCTATGATGAAAGCTCTTCACGGGTCAAGATTGACTCCTTGCTCAAGCATCCTGCCGGCCATTACAATGGCTTGTGTTTGGAAACTTTTTTATTTTCATTACAGCTAGTGAGGATTATGTCAGGGGCTGGAGGAAAAAAAATATCTGCTGTTCTGAATTATTCATAATGGCAAAATTCATTGTAACAAGGTCAGCTAAACACTAACCTCAGCTCAGCTCTGCCTTTGTTGGAAGTGTGTCGGCGCTAACAGAACCCAAGCCTGTCTCTATAAATGAAGAGACTACGTTGGGACTGTAAATGTTATTTTGTATTTGGAGCATACAAGTACTGTGCCTATGAGGTTCATACCCTTGATAGAGATTCTTAGAGATTTGGGTTCTTTGTTGTGTTCCTTTACATAAATGTATTTGAACTGTAAATGGCTATGTGATTTTATTTTTCCTTTTCTTAAGATTTTACAATGAGTAATCTTTGTTTTGTTTGGTTGGTTGGTTTTTAATTTTTAAGTTTTGGGTTGGTTGGTTTGTTTGTTTATTTATTTATTTATTTATTTATTTATTTATTTATTTATTTATTGAGACAAGGTTTCTCTATATAGCCTTGGCTGTCCTGGAACTTGTTCTGTAGACCAGGATGGCCTGATATTCAGAGATCCACCCAACTCTGCCTCTTAAGTGCTGGGATTAAAGGCATGTGCCACCACTGCCCAGCCTTACAAAATCAACAATCTTACCTGTTATCTACCACCCCTTTTATTAAAAAGGCTAAGTTGTAATTGATCATTAGGCCTAGGGGTTCAATCAAAATTAATCTTTTTTTTTTAATGGTAACACTTACTTTTCTTGGATAAAGGACTGGCGATCGATAAGAATGGGCTGATCTACTTTGTTGATGGAACTATGATCAGAAAGGTTGATCAAAACGGAATCATATCAACACTCCTGGGGTCCAATGACTTGACGTCAGCCCGACCTTTAACCTGTGACACAAGCATGCATATCAGCCAGGTACTGTGGATGCTAAGCCAAGCTGTTTGTCTTGCCTGAGTGGCTTCAATGTACCCTGTCGGTAGCCGGTGATGGCACCAGGTTCAATCGCATCTGTCAGACGTGGGCGTGGTCACAATACAGCTGTTCTGTTTAAATGTACATCGGGAGCTACTAAAAGTTATATGTATGTTATATGCGTGTGTGATTCTGCATTTGATGAATCCGGGGAAACGCAGATCAATTAGCTCTGAGAAATGCTAAGCATGGGTAATAAAATTCCACTGGAGTCGCAGCATGCAGACGCTCCGAAAAGAACAAAACAGCTTAAATCCCTAATCTTTTGATTGCATAGGCTCCTTGAGTACAAGAAAAAAAACCACACTATGATTAGTCCCAAGGGGCTTATATTTAGAATTAGGGACTAAACTATTGGCCTGATTGAAAACACAATAGAATAAGAATGTATTCATAACCCAGGAAGCCCTGGCACTTGGCTGTTATTACTACTGCGAGGAACATATGTGTTCATAACTCAGCAATATCTGTTGACTCACGGCGTAGAAGTTCATTTTCTGTTTGGCTATAACCAGCAAATCTTTCCATGTGCTGCATTCTTAAATAAGATGTTATTTCCCGCATTTGTTTCCACTTCAAAATTGTAGGCTTCCTTCACCACGGGGGAGGGGGGTGATGGGGGGACAGTTTTACAACCGTTTATCAAATTAAGGCTAATTTCCCTGAATGGTCTCATTTACTCTTCTATCAAATTAACTGCAGTGTAGTGATGGACTAACCAGGTCATTTCTTTCTCTATCAAGGTGCGTCTGGAATGGCCCACTGACCTTGCCATCAACCCTATGGATAACTCCATTTACGTCCTGGATAATAATGTAGTTTTACAGATCACCGAAAACCGTCAAGTCCGCATCGCTGCCGGACGGCCCATGCACTGCCAGGTCCCTGGCGTGGAGTATCCCGTGGGGAAGCATGCAGTCCAGACCACCCTGGAGTCAGCTACGGCCATTGCTGTGTCCTACAGCGGGGTCCTCTACATCACCGAAACCGATGAGAAAAAAATTAACCGCATCAGGCAGGTCACAACAGATGGGGAAATCTCCTTGGTGGCAGGAATACCTTCCGAGTGTGACTGCAAAAATGACGCCAACTGTGACTGTTATCAGAGTGGGGATGGCTATGCCAAAGATGCCAAACTCAATGCCCCATCCTCCCTAGCCGCCTCTCCAGATGGTACGCTGTACATTGCCGATCTGGGAAACATTCGAATCCGGGCAGTGTCAAAGAACAAACCTTTACTGAACTCCATGAACTTTTATGAGGTTGCCTCTCCAACTGATCAAGAACTGTATATCTTCGACATCAATGGCACCCACCAGTACACCGTGAGCTTAGTCACGGGTGACTACCTGTATAATTTCAGCTACAGCAATGACAACGACATCACGGCTGTCACAGACAGCAATGGCAATACCCTCCGAATACGCAGGGACCCAAATCGGATGCCTGTCCGGGTGGTGTCTCCGGATAACCAAGTGATATGGCTGACCATAGGCACCAATGGATGTCTGAAAAGCATGACCGCTCAAGGACTAGAGCTAGTTTTGTTCACTTACCATGGCAACAGTGGACTTTTAGCCACCAAAAGTGACGAAACTGGATGGACAACATTTTTTGAGTAAGTATATGAATATTTTATTCTAATTATAAAATAGTGATATAATATAGTGTGTAATAATAATACGTGCTTAAGTTCTGAAGGTCCTAAAGTTTCCATAATTTTCTTATCTGTCTTTAAAGAAAAAGACAAAATCATGAAAATTAGATGTAGAGCCTTGGAGGAGACCGGCACATGTGAAACTCCTCGGCGATTAAATTTCATTTAGCTCCATGGTAAATTTACCTCTCCTTAGGAACTGACGTTTTTGCCCTAGTACACTTAGCAGATTAGTGACAAACCTTTCAAAGAACAATGGGCAGCTTTAGTTTGGGGGCCTCAACCCTCTGGGTTTGGATTTGCCTGGCTGATAAAGCCGGCTGTGGTAGGAGCTCTCATTGAAGAAAAACTTTGAACACCATTTACAGTGAACATGGCTGGTTATCCTGGGACTGAAAACGTGAGCCTTATCTCCCAGAGGGCTTAGCTATGCACAGTCAGTTCTGGGAGAAGATAAGCCACACTTTAAGGGACTTGGGGACCAAATGCAAATCAGGACACCGGGACTTGGGGACCAAATGCAAATCAGGACACCGGCCACCGTTGGAAGAAAGCGTTTGAGAAGCCAGGGCGTTTGGCCCGGGTGATCTGCTCTCCCGTCCCATTTGTGAGGTCAGTGAGAATGAAATGAAAATTAGCTGCTGTATATTTTGTGGTGTGTGTACTTTACAGTGAGAGCCTGGGTAAAATCATTTTCAATTGCTTGCTCACGTGACTCCCATCGCCCAGGCTAGGAGGGGAAATTACCTGCACCGAGATGACACTGGCAAAGGCAGACTGTCCCTTGTGCGATTTCCCACAGTGGCATGCCGAAGCAGGAGTGTTTTCTCCAAGAACATACCTCTAAGATTACAATGAAAGTCGTCAGGAAAAAAAGTCATTTAGTACACACATATTTTCTGTGCAACTTCTCTGGAATGGAACCTGCACAGAGAGCTCAGTTCCCCTGTCGTTCGGACGGCTTTTTCTTTTTTGACAGGTTCCCTTTTAATAAAACAAATGTTCCGCCGCAGCATGGTTTTGTCAGAGGAACAAACCTGTACAATTGAATTACATTAGAATTCTGTTCTCAGCATCGCTTTCCTTCATTGCAGGATCGCAATAGGAAAGGAATAAATTGGAAGTCGATGGAAGGCACTTGCTTTGCAGGGCCTTCAAAGGGATAGCCAGCTCTGTTGCCCGAGAGAGAAAGGCACAGAGAGAAAACGCAGCCATCAGATAGGCCCGGGCAGGAGAGCAAGGGCACTCCTCATTAGATCTTCAGCCACGGTGGGACTCGGGGAGGGCGTCGCTTTAGTTGCAAGCAGGGCGAGAAGAGAGAGGCTAAGTTCCCAGTACTGTCTTAAGGCGCGAGCTCTGCTCTGTGGGCCCTTTCTGAACATGTTCGGTCCAGAGACTTGACACCGTACAGTTCTCCTTGTGCAGACTACCAGCGGACGAACCGGAAGCCAACAGGATGGTTTACTGAGAGCCCCCCAATTCACTCAAGCTTGGGAAAAAAGAGAAACAGCCTCACTCTATCAGTGGGGTAGATGTGGGACAGTTTAAACAAATTTGGATTTATTTTTAATGAAGGATAGTGACAAAAAGAAAACATACTCCTCTATAACATATATATAATATACTATATTATTACATATAATATATATTGTAGTATATTATCTATTTATATAATACAGTATATTACATATTGTAATATTACATAATCATATTATATAAATATATCTGCAGCCTTTGAGAAATTCAAGCGCTGTCAGGAATCAGGGGTTTGGTAGGCGAATCGGTCTTGTGACTATAATAAGAAAGTATGGCCTGGTAAGTTTCGTTTGTGTGTTCCTCTCTCGTCATAGAGCACATTTGTGTGGTCATTAGAAGGCACAGCTAGAGAAACCACAGCAAAAGTGACTATTTCAGAAAACTGGTATGACAATATTTAACTACAGCCAGACACAGACTCTCTCAGGTATATTTTAAGAGTAGTATTAGACCAAACAGTGTTTGCAAATTACTTTTCTAATAAAATTAACAGACGTATACATTTAAAAAAAAAAAACAGCAACACATATATATAATCTCAGCACTCAGGAGGATGAAGCAGGCTGTGGATTGAGAGTCGGAGGCCAGCCTGGATGACACAGTGGGTTCAAAGCCAGAATGAGTTAGACAGTAAAACCTCATCTCAAACTTTAATTTTTGAAAGCAATGTATTGTTTGTTTTTCTCTACATATTTTCAGCAAAAAAAAAATGTAATTTTAAAGGTTGCCAAGAAGTATGTATGCTTTTTGAAAAGGTTTTGAAAAGTAGAGCAGCCAGCTTAAGGAATTCAGAACTGCCATGTCCGAATGAGGTGGCCTTTATTGTGGTTATTCTGTAGGAGCTTGCTAAAGGGACCACTTCTTCCAAGGTCAGAGCCTCTAAGGCCCCTTTCCCTTGTCCTCTTGGGCAGGCCTCAGGACCCATTCTCAGAGAACATCGCCTTTGTCTCTGATCCTTGGAGGTGAGAAACAGACAAACCTAACCCCGGCTTCTGCCCACAGGAGCCTTGACCACAATCTCTGCTTCCTGTATCCTGACCTTCACATACAATTGCTGTGAGCGCCCTAGTAGATAGGATGGGACCTCTGAGTCCCTGATGAGATGATGTAATTTGTTTTTAGAGTGCTGGAACCTCTCTCAGCCCGCCTCTGGGCTATCATGGACCAGGTCACTGGAGCAACCATACGATCTGTGCTTGTTCCCCCTGACCCAACCAGGGAAAGAAGCACAAGCTATTTATGAATCACCAGTGAAGAGTGGTTAAAGCCCAGCTCTGCCCTGCTCTGACTCTGACATTGACCTTGGCTGTCTGCTAGTTCTCAGTCACCTAGCCAGTGTTAACCAGCCTCCAACCTCGCAGGTGCCTGACATGTTGATCATCAAACTAAACTCTCTTTCTGCTCACTTTACATAATCGACTCATGGCTTTTCCACGGCAGGCTCAATTCTATCCCGGCCAAGACAGAACTGCAGTCTTTGACTGTTACGTTACCTTTGGTTGCTTGTCTATAGCAGAGGCTGGGATGATCTCTTGTGAGCAGCCACCCTCACTTAGCATTTAGTCTGTCACAGTTAGCCGCCATGGGAGCAAGGATATATGAAAGAACAATCATGTCTGTCCTACATGTGTTCCTCAAGGGACTCGGGGAGCCAGCCAGCCTGCAATTACTAGCCCAGAGCCTTGTCCCTCCTCATCTTTCTCGCTCGCTTATCTCGTACCCAACTAGAGGGCTTCCTACACATCAAGCTAGTTGTCTCAGTCTTGGCCATGTTAACCCTTCATCTTCCTCTCGACGCCAGCCTCTGTTCTAGCTGGAATGCATGTGAGCGGCCCGGCAGCTTTTGTCACACGCCCTTTCTCCCGCTGCCTACAGAGAGCTGGCTCCTCTGCCTTCCTGTGGTTTGGTAGCTGTTGGTGAACTGTTATCCTGGTAATGTCCTGCTTCATGTTTTTGTAGTCTTGTGTGTCTAATTCAGACATAGAAAGATGCTTGATAAGTCGTCAAAGAAGGGATTTGAGTTTGGCAATGGTCAAGGTTTTACCAAAACCACAAGGGGATTGTAACAGGACCAAAAAAAAAAAAATCATCCCCAACTGAGAAACACCTGTTTTCTGTGGCTTTCACCACACCAGTCTCTTAAGCTGGTCGGTGGCCTATAATCATCTTTTGGCATAAATACCTTATGTAAGAAATGGCAGTTTTCAGTCCAAATCCCCACGTGTTTGTGGCCAGATTCTCAGTTAGCCTGGTGTCTAAAAAAAGGGTTGAAATGAAAGCTTTTATCAAATAGAAACAGATGGAAGACCTGGAATCAATCAGTTTGCCTACTGTAAAAAATATGGTTACCATAGTTCCCGCCAAAGATATTTTAAAAGGGGAGCGAGTTCAAAGGACTGACCTTGCATGTTTTCTGTTTGTCAATTTTTGTTGCTGCTACAAACTTTAGTGTGCCATTAGCATTTTGCAGTAGTGGTGTGAGAACAAAGAAAAGGGGAAAAAGTATTTTTTTTTTAATGCAAGCTGTTGTCTCCATGGCTCTCACGGCTCCTGGAATGTTGCTGTTCACACACAGCGCCCCTCAATTGGAGGCAGACGCCAATGATGTAGTCGGGCGAATATTCATGTATTGAATAGAGTCTGAGGAAACCCAGAGCTGACTCACCCCAAGCTCCTTTGGGGAAAAAAAATTGCTGTGTAAATGGTCTCTTGTTCTCTGAGATGGTTCAAACCCCTGCACCAATCATCAACACCGAAAATGTCGCAGTTTCCCATTTTTCTTCTCCATCTTTGGATGTTTGCCTAATAGGATTTGTTTACTTGTTTGTTTGTTTGTTTTTATAAAATAAGAACTTCCCAGTTGATCTTGTTGTTCAAATAACTGAATGAGAAAATAAAGACTTTGTATTGGTAGTGTTTTATTCTGAAATACTGCTTTGAAGGAGCAAGGGCAGAAAGAACTGTGCATATAGCCGGTTGTGTCTGGAGGCAAAGGTAGGAGAATTAGGAGTTTGAAGTACACCAATCCGGGATACCCCAAAAGTTCAAGAGCAGCTGGAACTACATAGTAAAGCCCTGTCTCACAAAAGTAAGGGGTTAGGGATAAACTCATTGAAAGATTTCTTACAGCACAATGATAGGCTCCGGAATCCTTGTTTTTGTGGCAGAGAATAAATGAAAGCAAAAAGAAAGCTCTCCTCCAGCCGAAGGGATGAGGGTCAGGTGAGGAAGGCGGCCCCGCCCCTGCCGTTGTGAAGAAATAGGAGGCCAAAAGTTGTTTGAGAAAAGGCCTAGGAACTTCGGCACTGGATGGGACATCCAACCCAGAAGAGGTCTTACGTGCTTTGTCAAATTTCCCCGTGCATCAGGCTGCAGGCACAGAGGGCTATTGTCTGGAAGAGGTTGAGAGTAGCTCCTGGCAGTAA